TGTTGGGCTATTATGTAATTACAGAAAGTTGATAGGGGCCCTTGTGTAGTTAAGTAAGACTTGTACTCTTTATATAAGCCTTGTACACTTTATTAGGTTTTTCAAGTATAATGAATATAGACAAGTCTGAAACTTCTCTCTCCCTCTCATATATATAACTGTGAACATGGTATCAGAGCGTACGATCATTGGTGTGAGAATCTGTAATTGGGTTCTTCTTGTCTAAGATTTGAATTGCAGTTGTGGTGTTGGTGATCTCTACTATCGGTTCATCGGTTCCTTGTTAGTCGTCATCAGCAGCGGCTTGTTCATCGTCGTCAAATCTGCGGCGTCGTCAGATCTGGGAGTTGCTCGTCGTCGTCTCTGCCGCGTTCGTCGTCACCTGCAGCTTCTCTTTAGTTGCCAGCGAGCTCATCGACCTCTGCAATCTTGATTCGCAGAGGTGAGGTTCATCTCTGTTGGCCGGAAGTTGCAGCAATCGCTGCTTATTGGTTCGGCCGTTACTTGTGATTGAGTCGCCGTCGTTGCCGCTGCGTTATTCCCCGATGTCCGTGAAGGTGTGAAGAAGAAGACCTCTGTTTGGCTACACGGTTATGGCTACTTCAACCCTGGTTTGCTAAACCTGGATAGCCCAGGTCAGTCCAACCCGTTTGACCAGGTCCATTGACCAAATCCGACCCGGTTTCAGATCCGACCCGGTTTTCCAGGTTCGGCCAGAATACAGAATCTGTTTTTTTTCTCTCTCGCGTTTTTCTTCTCTGTTTTGCTGGATTCAACACGGCATCTAGTTCAGATTTACTGTCACCCACGAACAGTCTTCATTCTACCATGACTTCAGTTAAACTGAATGGGAAGAATTACATATTGTGGGCTAAATCTGTTGCCATTTTCCTCAAAGGTAGAGGTCTTGGTTCTCATTTGACTAAAGAGAAACCCAAGGCAGCTGATGCCTCCTTTGATGCATGAGAAAAAGAAGATGCTCAGATCATCTCTATGATGATAAACAGTATTGAACCCCAAATTAGTTCAACTCTACTTTATTTGGATACTGTCAAGGAGATATGGGACAGATTGCAGCAATTGTATTCTGGGACAAGTAATATCACTCGTGTTTATGAGCTCTGTAAGCAGTACTTCAATCTTGAACAAGGTACTCAAAGTATAGAAGAGTATTATTCTAAAGTTATGGGAGTCTGTGAAGAGCTGAATATGTATCAGCCCATTACAGGTGATGTTCGCAGTATGCAACAACAGCGTGCGGACTTTAATGTTGTCCGTTTTTTTACTGGTTTATCATCAGCATATGAGCCTTTTCGTGCACAAATTATGAGCAGCCCAACACTTTATATATATATATATATATATAAATAACATTCTAACACTCCCCCTCAAGCTGGAGAATATATATCAAATAATCCCAACTTGGAACAGATAGTTCTTAACCGGTTATGACCCAATGCTTTGGTAAACATATCAGCTAATTGATCTTCAGACTTCACAAATGGAGTAGAGATGCTCCCACTTAATATTTTTTCTCGAATGAAGTGACAAATCAACTTCAATATGTTTGGTCCTCTCATGAAACACAGGATTTGATGCAATGTGAACTGCTGCTTGATTATCACATAACAATAGAGTAGGAGCCTCAACTATCAACCCAAGTTCTTTTACAAAATGTTGTATCCATGTCAACTCACTAGTGATATGGGCCATTGCCCTATATTCAGCTTCAGCACCAGATCGAGCTACCACCGTCTGCTTTTTACTTCGCCATGTAACAAGATTTCCTCCTAAAAATGTATAGTATCCTGTAGTAGATCTCCTATCTGAAGGAGAACCAGCCCAGTCAGCATCTGTAAAACTTTCCACCCTGAGATGACCATTTGATTTATATAGTAACCCTAAACCTGGAGCTTTCTTGAGAAATCGTATAATCCGAAGAACAGCAATCCAATGTAGCATTCTAGGAACTCCCATGAACTGACTTACAACACTGACTGCATATGAAATATCAAGTCGAGTGATAGTGAGATAAATTAATTTCCCAACAAGGCGACGAAACCTGCCCGGCTCATTAAATAGATCACCCTCATCAGATACAAGTTTTGTATTTGAATCCATAGGAGTATCAACCGGACGACCACCCAACATACCTGTTTCTTCTAAAAAATCCAACACATATTTGCGTTGGGATAAACTTATACCCTTCTTGGATCTAGCAACTTCAATGCCCAAGAAATACCTAAGTTTACCCAAGTCTTTAGTGTGGAATTGATATTGCAGAAACAACTTCAACTTAGCAATGCCTTCAGAATCATCACCTGTGATCACAATATCATCTACATACACTACAAGAAATATGAAGCCAACTTTAGTGCGCTGGTGAAACACCAAATGGTCGGTCTGACACCTCTTAAGACCAAATTTTAACGCCGCCTCAGAGAATTTTCCAAACCAAGCCCGTGGAGATTGTTTCAATCCATACAGAGCCTTTTTAAGGCGACAAACAGTGTGAAGATACTCCCCCTGAGCAACAAACCCAAGTGGTTACTCCATATAAACCTCTTCTGCCAAGTCACCATGCAAAAAGGCATTTTTAACGTCTAACTGAAACAGAGGCCAATGTCTATTAGCAGCAAGAGAAATCAAAACACGAATAGAAGAAATCTTAGCAACGGGAGAAAATGTCTCATCATAGTCAATACCATAAGTTTGGGTATAACCTTTGGCAACAAGACGTGCTTTTAAACGCTCAACAGACCCATCTGAAAGATACTTCACAGTATATACCCAGCGACAACCAACAGGTTTGACATCCGGTGGTAATGGAACAAGATCCCACGTGCCATTCTTATGCAAAGCATCCATTTCATCTTGCATTGCTTTCCTCCAGCCCAAATCAGATAATGCATCATGCACAGTCTTAGGAACGAATGTAGTAGACAACTGAGACTTGTGTAGTTAAGTAAGACTTGTACTCTTTATATAAGCCTTGTACACTTTATTAGGTTTTTCAAGTATAATGAATATAGACAAGTCTGAAACTTCTCTCTCCCTCTCATATATATAACTGTGAACAAATAAAAACCTAATTAAACTAGGAATTTAAGACAAAATTCCCAACAAATGCCATTGGCAAGAGTTCGAGTCTTAGAATAGCCACTTAATGAAAAATCAAATAGTAGTTCTATCTCAAGTCCTTCCTCCCCAAGACCCTATTCTGGCAGAACCAAAATTGGAAATGTCACTTTAACGTTTTGGTTAAAGATTATGCACCATTCATGTTCTTGAGATGACATATGCCAACTTTTTTTTTTTCTTTTCAACAATGGTGGTGTCGGGTCTTAGAGCACCCCATAATCCACCACTGGGCACATGCAGCCCCCATCCACATGCACCAGGCAATTACTGAAAAAAATCTCTGGAGGAGGCCCCTAGGAGATTCAACTTACTAGCATTAGATCCCTTAGGTGAAAGTTTCAGTTTGGATCAGCTTAGTTGCACATATCCATGCCAATGACAATTTCAGGCTGTATATGGGTACAACCGTAGGTAGAATTAGTACTAACTCTACCAGTAACAACTTCAGGTTTAATCTTACTATACTTGGTTGTAGCAGCCCTTCCAGCGACAGCTTTAGGCTGGACTTGTAGGCAATATTAGTTGCAAAATGCATTGCGTTGGTATATGTCCTTCCATTGATAGCTGCATGGTGGAGATGGGTGATTAAAATGATCCTTCCAGTGGAAACTTTACTGGCTATATATATCTTCAGGTACCAGCTTCAGGTTAAATATGGGTTATGCTGCGTGAACAAAGTTATGAGTGTGGGTGTGGGTGTGGGTGTGGGTGTGGGTGTGTGCCTAAGTGTCAAACTTTCCTGACTCACAAATTTTAGGACATGGGAAAATGTGTACAAAAGTTAGATTCAGAAATGCCGACACTTACCGAGCGTTTAAATACATTATATGCTCTATAAATAGTTCTATTGTATTAGGAAATTTCTTGTTAAGCAAGTCTTGGGCTCCAAGGAATTGCAATCGTTGTCCAACAAGGAATTGCGCTTGGAACTCTATAAATAAATACCTAGGTTTTTTAGTTGAGACTTATGAGATTGAGACAGATGTAGTCTCATGAGGACTCTAAAATAGAAACCTAATTAGAATAGGAATTTGAGACAATTTCCTACATTATTCATAGTTATTTATAGATATGAATTACTTATCAAAAAAAAAAAAAATTATAGATATGAATAATAGTAATTCATTCAAAATTACCATAAGGTCGGCAATGCTTAATGTAGTACACAATCCAAGCAATTAACAAATGAGGCGGCCATAGCTTATAAAAAGATTTTGAGATTGGGAAAATGTTAACTTAGATGCTTTAATCATGTAAAAACCATAAAACACACAGAACAATGTGGGTGAGGAAACACGTCACAACGCTCAATTAAGTTGCAAACAAAAACACGCAAAATAAATAACTAAGGAAGAAGAAATGCAGACCCCTTTTGTTGTGAGGCAGTTTAAACAAATGAGTTTATAGCTAGGGAAAGTTTTTAAGCCAACAAAATAACATACAAGACCATTAGTTTCTACAACAATGGTTTGAGATGGTATTCTCATTATTTTCTCTAGGCATAACAGAGGACAAAAAATAAGCCTATTACCAATGAAATCAGATCCTCTATCACTTGTCATTCAAAATGCATTTACCAGTACACTATTGACTCTCATGAAAGTGAGCAGAAAAAGGTCATTCAATTAAATACAGTCCTGGTTACAGGTTATAATATATGATATGTGGCAAATTGTGTAAAACTAGTTCGATCACTATTTAAGTGAAGCATTTTCTTCTTTCCCTTTCTCTATCGTTCAAAATGGAAGTTCTTCTTCCAAACAGTTAACTATTATTTCATGCCAGCAAAAGATCTACCTACAGCAAGTTTCATTAGCTCAAAATGAGCAGGGGCACAGAGTTTCACAACAAACGCTTACCACCCAAGGTGTCCTCCGATGACCACTTAACACCTTTAAGCATCGCCCAGTTTGACAATCGATTATTTTTACCGTATGGTCCCCACTGCAAGCACATAAACAAAACACAGCTTCACAAAACAAGCATTGCTTGACAAAAATATGGCTGAAGTCAGCTAAGCCTCATCTCAACCCTTGGAAACAACAACATACTGTGTGGAAGCAAGTGTTCTCCCATCGGGACTGAAGGCTGCCGCAATAGTTGACCTAGGAGGAGGTAACAGTGGACAATACTTGGCTGATAAATGCCTCAATGACTCTGCTTCCACCCTGAAAAAAGGTCAAAATTTGTGAAGATAACTAGTTCTGGTTAAAAGCTTATAAATGAACAAGTTACCAATAATTCTTCTCAATCAACTGAGATAAAACAAGAAGAACATCCGAACACAAACCCAGACCCACACATACATACACACAACAATATCATACAGATTACAGAATATAGCAGAGAACATAGTGGTTACCACGACACAAGACCATGTCTCGCATCTCTTGCTGCTTCACATCGTAACCCAAAGGAATCAGCATGACGCTTAGAATTCTCTCTCCATAGCTTTTTCGACGAATGCTTTGCCCTAGGAGATATCTCTCTCTTTGCTAAGAGTTGAAAGACATTCCTATCACTAGCATCATTGTAAAACCAAACACAATCAACACAAATAAAATCAGAAACATGCAATCAATTCGAAGTCTCAAATGAATTTCAGCTCAAAGTAGAAGCAATCATTTTGCCTAAAATAAAAGATCAATAATGCACTCATGGTATTTAATAACACAAATTGAGAATCCTGTTTAAAATTCCATAAATTACTGCCCACAGAATTTTTTCAAAGTACAACTTATTTTTCGATTGCACTATAAAAAAGAACTCAAATGGTAATTGCAACACAATATGACACTAGTAAGCTTCAGGGGGAACAATTCAAATACTCTCTTACTGCATTATTTATTCATTGATTTATTTATTCAGTTTCTTTATCAAACAATAAAGATTAAAAAAACAAAGGATCATGCAACAATTTCTAGGTACTTTAATTTGCAGCTGTAAAAAACATCATTTGCACAATCAATAACTTTAAGTTCCAATCTAAGTTCAAACCTCAGATCTAACATCGATTCCCAGTTGAATTACACATAACAAATAAGATCTCAAAAGCATCAAATTTTGGATCGCAACAAAGAATTTAACAGAAAAAAACAACATTTTTATAAAGTTACACAACTAAATCAGAGAGAACATAGAATTAGGTTTCATTTTCACCTGTGCTTGGAATTTGGGAGGCTTGGGACAGCCCGAGGAATACGTGAGCTTGAGGTAGATGGAGAATTGGATTCGTCTGGCCAGAACGAAGACCTCATTGTTTTCCCGAGAAAAGCCTCATGTTCTGTAATCTTCCCGCATTTCTCCGAGAAAAAAAACAGAGACTTTCCGGGAAAATTTTGGATCAGAACAGAGACAATCTCAATTGGGTTCTCGCCCTCAAACTGTGAGACGAAAGTAGAGAGAAAAATGAAATTTTAATAGGTAGAGATCTCGTCGAGGGGCAAAATGGGAAGAAGAAAACCTTAAGAGACGAGGTCGGAGAGTTAAGACGTTGATAACTCGGGGGCTGGGTTGGGCTACTTCTAATGTCGCTGACAGAAATGCCCTCTTAATTAGTGTAATTGTTAGAAATCACACGTGCTTTAGGAGCACGTGAAATACACGTGTTTTTTTTTTTTGTTAAAAAAAAAAAAACATAATGTATGAAGACCAATGAAGTCTAGAACACTCTGTAGTCAAGTCTTGCACTTCACTCCTAAATTGTTTTTGGATGAAATCTTTAGAATAACTCTATTTGATTCCACCACCACCCAAGCACACCTTCTGGTTTAAACTTCATTGATGGCCAAAATGCATTATAATTTAGGATGTACATGACATGAATTCTACATTTCTAATATGTTTTATTTGAGGTTATAATATTAGTTAATTTACATACTGTTGTATATCGACTAATTTCTTACCAACTCATCTATATTAAATTTGATCTTCCTCATCCCCTATTATTTACTCATAAGTGCATTTGACGATCTTTTATATACATGCTTAAACGGCTTAATCAATTTTCTTTTATTTTATTTTTAATTTGTTGTGATCATTTCAAATTCTATCATTTATAGTCATACTACATATCCATATCGATAGTTGCATATGTTGTTTACTGACTGTTCTGCAAAGAGAATATGTTTGTTACACGATATAATAGATGCACTTCTCAATTTAGTCCATTGATGAGCGTTGAAAAGCGTATTTAAACCCCTTAAACTTAGGTATTTTAATACCTTTATTTATCTTACTTTACCGTTTTAGATTGATTTCGTATTATTTTCATTTTCAGTCACTTATCCCAGAAATAAGTTAACTCAGCCAAATAAGAGCTTAATTGAAGCAATTCTGGGATTAAACAAAGAAAAGAGCAAAGTGGAGAAAGAGAGAAGCAAATGAAGCCAAAGGTGGGAAGCAGTAAAGTTCGATCGATTCAAGTTCAAGGTTTGATCAAACAATGATCGATCTTAGCACTTCAAGATAGATCCAAGCATTGGCCCAAAAGCATAAAGTCCAAAAGTTCGATCGATCCAACACCATCCTTCAATCGATCGAACACTTTTGTCCTTATTCAAATGATTGATCATATCCACAACTGTACCACTCACTAACCACTTTTGTCTTTTTCCCATAAATATCTCCCAAAAATATCTCAGATTTGTCTTTTTCCAAAAAGCTCAGCGGATCGATCCTGCCTAAGTTCGATAGATCTCGGCCAGTTCGATTGATCCAAGTCCAAGGTTCGATCAATCGAACTTCCTCCGGTACAAAAAAGTTAAAATTCCATCTCATTGAAAGTTATCCTTTATCCAATTATTGGGGAATATTGTGTGCACGACCCCAACTCATTTTAGGTGTCATTTTGACCTACCTATATAAGGATAAGGATTGCTTTTTACAAAGGGAGCCAATTTGATTTTCATATCATCTCTTGAAAATGAAGCTTAGAGGAGGAGGAGGCTAGAGACACCATTGGAGTTCTTCATCAACAAGGAGCAGATTTCAACCATGGAGTTAGCCCTTGAGGGTTGGAGCAACATCACCATGAGTGGCTAGACATCCTCTTGGGATTAGAGTTAGCCTCAAGCATGCTTTCTCTATCTTGATCTTGTATATTATTGAGGGATTAGTGTTGTAATTAATGTATTGACATTTTGATATATATAGATCTTGTTTATTCCATGATTTATGTGGTTTAATATTTCCAATTGATCATTTCATTCTATCCATAAGTCTATGTATGCTAGAATAGATGTTCATGTGTTAGCCTCTTTTTCTTAAGTTATTGATGCATGTCTATGTGTATTAATATTATAGATTTAGAGATTGTCAAAACATTGTGCTTAAAAGAATTTTCTTGTGATTTTCTAGATGGTCTATGCTCATCACTTGGTGGATTATGCCTCTCCCTTAGCTTAGTTAGTTTAATTTCATGTCATTAGTTTAATTGTTGTGTAGTGATAGCATAGTTGTTAGATGAGAGGACAATCCATGCTAATTGTTTGGTGTTCCATACTTTTGAATGCAAGTAGCATATGTCTCTAACCTTGTGGTGTTTTTGGCTTGTGAGCTTAATGAAATGATTAATGATTTGTTAGATATGTTGTGCTTTTCACATGCTATTTAAACAATATATACTTAATTGCTAAATATATTGTACTTTTCACATGTTGATTAAACAATATATGCTTAATTGGTCACCCTTGCTAATTGAATCAACCAAACACACACACACCAATATTGCAACACACATTACCCTCATTAGTCACTAGTTAGAAGTGTAGAAAAACATTGCTTGGTGGTGACCTCTAAACCCCAAGATTTCTCTCTCTCTCACTTACTCTTTGTTACATTCAATTACTTAATTTAATTTAGTTACTCTCTAGTTTATTTAACCAATCAACAATTTGTTTGATCACTCGACCTACTGACCCTAATTGCAATTCCATAATCAAGTACGACTCCAATCTCTTGGGACGATCCCTACTTGTCCTAGCAATATTGATAGTGAAAGGTAGTAGTGGCTTTTATAAATGTAAAACTCTTGACTCTTGCCTTAAAATTCACACTCTTAAGCTTGTGGTGCGGCGACACGCCCAACAAGTTTTTGGCGCCATTGCCGGGGATTAGGCAACATCGTATTTGTGGAATTAATTAGGAATTAGCCCCAAGCATGCTTTCTCTATCTTAATCTTGTGTATTATTGAGGGATTAGTGTTATAATTAATGTTTTGACATTTTGATATATATAGATCTTGTTTATTCCATGATTTAGGTGGTTTAATGCTTCCAATTGATCATTTCATTATATCCATATGTCTATGTATGCTATAATAGATGTTCATGTGTTAGCCTCTTTTTCTTAAGTTATTGATGCATGTCTATATGTATTAATGCTATAGATTTAGAGATTGTCAAAACATTGTGCTTAAAAGAATTCTCTTGTGATTTTCTAAATGGTCCATGCTCATCACTTGGTGGATTATGCCTCTCCCTTAGCTTAGTTAGTTTAATTTCATGTCATTAGTTTAATTGTAGTGTAGTGATAGCATAGTTGTTAAACGAGAGGACAATCCATGCTAATTGTTTGATGTTCCATACTTTTGAATGCAAGTAGCATATGTCTCTAAACTTGTGGTGTTTTTAGCTTGTGAGCTTAATGAAAGGATTAATGACTTGCTAGATATGTTGTGCTTTTCACATGCTATTTAGATAATACATACTTAATTGCTAGATATATTATGCTTTTCACATGTTGATTAGACAACGTATGCTTAATTGGTCACCCTTGCTAATTGAATCAACCAAATACACACACACCAATATTGCAACACACATTATCCTCATTAGTCACTAGCTAGAAGTGTAGAAAAGCATTACTTGGTGGTAACCTCTAAACCCCAAGATCTCTCTCTCTCTCACTTACTCTTTGTTACATTCAATTACTTAGTTTAATTTAGTTACTCTCTAGTTTATTTAACCAATCAACCATTTGTTTTATCACTTAACCTACTAACCCTAATTGCGATTCCACAATCAAGTACGACTCCAATCCCTTGGGATGATCCCTACTCGCCCTAACTATATTTATAGTGAAAGGTAGTAGTGACTTTTATAAATGTAAAACTCTTGACCCTCGCCTTAAAATTCACACTCTTAAGCTTGTGGTGCGGCGACACACCTAACATCCATCCTGCCTTGATTTTATGATGAATATGGGTATACAGTGTTATTTGATAAAATAAAAAATTAAGTATTAAAAATCTTAAAATTTTGATATTTAGTGTTGGCGTTAATTTTAAATTGAAGTACTTTTTTATCACTGTTCAACATTCGTGATAAATGAAATAATTGTCACCTTAAAATTTTAACACGTTTTAAGTAGTGTATAGTTTTAAAAATAATATATTTAAATTGTGTTACAAAAAATCAATGCAAGGATAACTTAATGTGATTAATTACACATTTTCAAATTTTAATTGTTGTTTGAATTAAGTGCCTCCTGAATTAGAATATAATTGCCTTTTGCAAATCATGTGGAATACATGTTCTTGGTGTTGTTTTACCATTAGAATACGCAGGAATTGAGTCAAGTATGGGATGTTTTCGTATTAAATCAGAAGAGCATTTCAAAAGACATTTTATTTTGAAAGGTTCTGGAGTTCCTAGCTTGCAGTTACAAGTTTCAGAAAAATATGAAACTTTTCTCAATTTCTTAATATTTTTTATTTTATTTTTTCATAAAAAGTCTCATTTAAGGCCATAATGATTCAGACCTCATTAAAGCACATAATGATTCAACCTTATTAAAGCACAAACGATGGTTATTAATAAATAATTAAGATTACTATATAATAATTTATTCTTCAATGTTTCCTTTGTGTGGGGAACATTACTCCAGAGGACAAAAATGTTTATATATATATATATATATATATTTGCTATATTATAAGATAGAATTGAAATTTTATTAGATAGAATTGAAATTTTATTTTTGTGTTTATTACTAATTGTATGTCTATAGATTTTTTCTTTTGATGAAGACCACCCCAAAGAAAACAGCGTGGGTTATTAATAAATAATTATAATTGTTATATATAATAACTTTATTCTTAAATGTTTTCTTTTTGTGGACTCCAAATAACACAAAAGTTTTTTTTTTAAATTGTCATTAAAGTACATAATGATTAAACGTCATTAAAGCACAAACGTGGGTTATTAATAAATAGTAATTTATTCTTCAAAGTATACTTATTCTGGGAAACACTCTGGACACAAATGTTTTTTTTTTTTTTTTTTAATAAATAAATAATTCTATATTATAAGATAGAATTAAAATTCTCTTTGAAAAGTGATATTTTTGACAAATTTAATATTCTGACTTAAAATATGACGTTTATTCTAAAATTTCAATTTAAACAGACATTATTACTA